ATTATAAAAGGTGTGTGGACAGGAGTATTGGTGATCATAGATGGAGAACTTGGGTAGAAGCTTTTTGTAATAATATAATTGTATTACCTTATGGTTAAAGCAGAAGAGCCCCACCCACCAACTCTGCAAAAATAGTGGGGTTTTTTGGCCTTTGTTTATTGGTTTTTTGCAGTGGGAGGGTCAGACTTTTCCTCCAAAAAAATCAGGGCCTGGAAAACATTTACAGGTCCTTCATGATGAGAAATTACACATATCTCTTAACATCTTGCTTATGAAAAAAAATCCAATTATTTCTAATTTAATTGTAGCATAGCTGGGATCAAACAAGAGTGCTTAGCTAAGTCACTTTGACATTGACCTGAAATATTGGCTCCAAATATCAGAAGTGTCTTGACAGTGGTGTTCTTTATCTCACAACGATCATTCACACTGACAACAGAAAGTCCCTTTAACTTTCAGAGTCTGTGAATTAAATAAGGTTATATAAGTTAGCTGCTGTTGCTTACAAGCAGTTGAAAAATCAGCAGAAATGCCTGGATTGTCATCTCACTGCTCTCATCTAAATGCAACTGGATAACCCATTTTCCACTTTTTAAGGGCAGTTTTATAATTTTATATTATCTCTGTTATATTATAATAATAATTATATATAATCTATATATTATATTATAATCTATATTTATATAATATATTTATATTATATTATATATTATAATCTATATTTTCTATATTATCTATATTTTATATTAAGTTTTTATTATTCATGAAAAGGAGTCAGGGAATTTTTTAAAATCTCTGATCTCTTAGTCTTTGGCTCTATGCTGAGCATAGAAAATATACAAATTCCCTTCTCTTTCCTTCCTCTATCCCTTGATACATGAAGGACTCTCAAATCCTAAAGGGCGGCACAGGTTTTAATAAAAGCAGTTTATTTTATTTCATTTATTATATTTTATATTGTATTACTTTTTAAAATATTTTATACTTTATTTTGTTATTTCAATAAAAGGAGCACCTTCTATGGTGCTGACCTAAATATCTGCAAGAGTATTTCCTAAGAAGAAAACCAGCAAGCTGTCGGAAGCTGTGAGCAGATAACCTCTCTGAGGACTAGAATCGGATGCAGTGGAAGGAGGGTGACCCCGTAAAATTAGCTCAGAGACAAGAGGCTGTATTTATATGGCATCATGTCCTTGAGGGACAGGAAAAAACAAATCTAAAAGGTAGACTCTTCCAATATTCAGAATTTTTAAATTATGTATATGCCCCCTGATGACATCATTCTTTGTAAGAAACCTTGTCACTTGGAGTCCCAGCAAGAGCTCACAGCCGGGCCTCTCCCACTGCGCTCTGCCAGGCAGGAACCCCTCCCAGCTCTGGCGAGCTTGATGAGGAGAGCTTTCTATTTCCAGGGCATCTGTTTATGTCTCCAGCTAGGTTAAATGATACCCAATAGAAATCTAAGAAATATCATAACAAGCCCTGGAACTTAAGCAGTGCAATTCTCTGCCTATGAAAGGGCATGAAATCATGGATGTGAGACACTGTGCTATTAAGTGATTTTGTTATCCACATTCTTGGCACACTTATTTCCTCAGTAACGTAACCACAAACCCGACTAACCCAACTCGAATTATCATACATTATGAATTATGAAGCTGTCCTAAAAGTTTGCTGTACGTGAAAACAAATTTGAGAATATTTTCTCATATCCTGATCTGATAACATTCACATACTAGTCTCTTATCTGTCAGCATAAGAACACTATATTATTTTCTAAAAGAAAAAAAAAACTTCAAAACCAGAAGGGTTTTAATTAATACAGACAAATCTACAGTAATGAGTTCACCTTTCACCTGTCTTCTCCAATGGGCACATTTTTTGAGATGACAAACTGATAATCTTAAGAGCTATAAAGATGAATCCTAACAGCTATAAAGAAGTTACAATTGAGCTAATATATTTACATTGTGAGTTAATTCATGAACCCTGGTCAGGGCATTTGGCAAATGTCTGCTCTATCTATAATGTTCTGGACACTACACCAGATACCAAGGACACGGAGTGAGCAAGACAAGACATAATCATTACCCTCTCAGATAGAAACTTGTTCCAGATTTAATGCCATGACATCAATCAGAAAAAAGAAAAAAACACAAAAAGTTGAAAGTGAGCCGTTAAGTTATATACATTAGTTAAGTATGTATGTTCATAAAGAAGCAGGGCATCTGGCTAAAGAATCTCAAAAACAATTTTCTCTCTGAAGTACGTACCAAGTTTCCCCCAAGAGTTATAAATTACAATCCTGGAATCAAAAGTTGGCTGATAAAATGCTTCTATTCCTTTCTGATAAACCAGTGCGATTAGGAGATACTAACTTGGACATAAACTTTCATGATTTAAGTGCTATTCTAGGACTGCCAAGATCATGTACAAAGAACAATAGAAATGAAATTTCTAAGGCACAGAATAGTGCCTTGACAACTATTACAAAGAGTCCTGCACATTTCCCCTGAAACTGGACCTCCCATAACAGGCTGCATAGCCTGTGGGAAGGGGAGCTCAGGAAAAGGCAAGACCTTCCCATTATTCAGAATCTCCCCTCCTGGGACATCACTGTCTAGCAAAAGATACCAACTGTGATTGATTTGACTAGATAATTAATTTTTAGGATCTAGTTTCGGATGTGACCAGCCAACCTAGAGACTTAGAGACAGAGACTCAGTCTGGAGAGAGGTGGAGATGTCAAAGCCTGTGACGGAGAGTTCCATGCATGAAGGTGAAACTGAGTGAGTATATGGATTTATTTCAGAGGATAAGAGGACCCCTGTCCAGGGTTCTCTGAGCTCTGCCTCTCCATGTGGATATGCCTGTGCCCTGGTCTAGGGAAAAGAAATCAGTGACGGCCAATTAACAGGGAGAAGAAAAACAAACTGAGAGTGAAAATGCACATGTGTACATGTGTGTCTATAAGACAAACGGGAAACCCCATCACCCACCCAGGTGAAGACTGAGTCTCTAATTTAGAATTTCCAGTGGCATCCTACTCTTTGAAAACACAATTCAAACTCCTGTCTAAGATTGGAAGGCTTTACATAAGCTGTCTTCTGCCTACCTCACTAACTTCATCTCCTATCTTTTCCCCTTTTACATTTCCATATGCAAGTTCTCCAAACACTCCAAATTCATTCATGCCTCAGGGCCTTTGCAGGTGCTGTTCCTCTGCCTAGAATTCTCTTCCTTCTGCTCTCCCCTTGAATGGCTCCTTATTCACATCTCACTTCAAATATCCTCTCCTCAGAGGAGCTCTCTGACTGCTCTAAATTAGCTTCCATCACCCTCTGCACACTGCATTGTCTTTGTAACACTCATTCTATCTGAAAAAAATTTTTTCATTTATTTGTAACTGCTTTATTAAGTCTATTTCCCACAAAAAAAAAAATAAGCTCTATAAGAATGGGGGCTTCATCTGTTTTGCTCAATGCTGCACTCCCATGCCCAGCACCCAGGATGTCTCCCGTTCCACGGGGGGTACTCCGTAAATACCGGTTGACTCTCCAGTCCTCCCTTATAGATGGCAGGAGAAAGCCACTGAAGAGCCATGCAAAACCCTGTTGCCTGGTCTGAGTGCAGGGACCACCACCCAGAGCCATACCAGCCCCGGACCTGCTTCCCCAGCCTCGGAAGGTGAGAGAAACCAGCTTCCCTTGGAGGAATCTCCGGCTTCCTTGCCACCTCTTCCCCTGGAGGCTTATTCCCTCAGCTTCTACAGACCTTTCCAGTCCCAACCAGATAAAAACTAAATCAATATTGAAAGAGTTCTTCCAAACCCAGTATTACTACAAGCTACTGAAGGAGACGATGTCTTTGGCACCCTATGTCTCAGATGTACGGAGGGAAAAGGGACCCTTTTCACTCAGCTTTTCAGTGTTTAGGATAAGAAAATCCTTATCTAAGGATTGGGCACTTTCCTTCCCCTCTTTCCCAACGGTCCTGGAAGAGGAAAGGCCCTGGTCAGATGCAGAAGGCCGTGGCAGGAAACAGTGAGTGGGCCATTCCTCCCTGGATAACCAAAAGCTCTTCAAAAAAAATCCATGGATGTGGAAAAGAGACTCAGATCCTACTGCCCTTTACTCTCTTTTACCTTCATAACTTCACCTCCAGAATCTCACCCCTATGGCAGCCAAGTTCTTGACCAAGTTTTGACACTCCCACCGATTCAGAACTGGAGAGTTTTTGTCAGGGGAAAGAACATTGGCTAACCTATCACGGCGAGGGCACTGAGCTCCTGACACCCTGATAAGGAACCACAATGACAGTTTTCTACTGGAACACCATAACGTCCAATGCATACACCCTACTCCATACCTTACGTTCACCCTAAATTAAATACTTTTTATTTTCAATCTATCAGAATTCAATTGGAAATTGTAGTGTGTGCTGTCATCCACTGTAGTTGGGATAAATAGGAGAGGTTCACTTCAACTGTGAGGGTGGGGATGTAGATCTGGGAAAACATCTTCCCAGCATGAAGGATGAGTAGGAATTTCTTTGAAAACATATTCAGAGTGAAAAAAACTCTCAGAACATAAGCCATCGAAGATAACATGATGTCATGAATTTGGCCAGACACAGCACATCTAAGGGGCATGTCAAAGATGTAGAGAAGATAAAAGATAACTAATTGGCGAAAGTCTGAAGCTGTCAGAAGGAAAGACAAAGTTTGCAGAGCACCTGCTCAAGAAGGCCAGTCTGAGAGGTAAATTCTGATCAGGGGATATATAACCAAAGTGTGTGCAATTGTCTGGAATGGTGTAAGGCAGTGGTGAAGTGACCTTCCTATGATCCATTCTAAGTCCCTTAACCTTGGGTAGTCTCAGTTTTTTTTAACTATAAAATCAGATTAAACATTCCTGTCTCATAGGGCTGTTGGGAAAATAGCATATGGGAACCCACGGGGAATCACAGTGGGTGCCACCTGAATTTTGTGCATGCCTCACCTTGATAAGCATCACCTGGAAGGCATGTGAAACAAATCTCTGGTTCCCAATCTAGATGGAATCATAAATCCACAGAAGCCAGGTGGTAACCTGCATGGTTAGCAGATAATGCTTATCAGAGAAATATCAGAAATACGGTATTGTTTCACTTCTCTCCCAGAATATCCCACATGATATGGAACACAAAAACATCTCCAACAGAAGAAAAGAGCTGCCAGTAATTTCCGGAGGAAGAAAACAGGAAAATTGCAATTTCCACAAAAGACTGATTTTTTTTTTAAATGGTATGTCTCTTAATGGCATTCTTCTGCCAATACTGTCTATTCTCTTCTGAGCCCCACAGATCTGTATTGATTTGGGGGCATAAAAAATTATTTCCAACAAATCTACTGAAAAATAGTCAAAAAAGCAGTCTTGTTTTATTGCGCCATAATAAACATGGTACAATATGAGATGATAGTAAAAATATTGCTCAAGAGAAGCCCCATTAGGCAACCAGTGAAGACCTTCCCTCCGCCTCCACAATTAAGGACAGCTTTGGTAGCCGGAACAGGAAAATACAGTTTCTAGAAAAGTTCTCTCCTTATAAACCAGTTTCCATTATCTAAAGTGTCTCCCAGGTCAATAGGCTTATTCAGAGAGGACAAACTAGATAACAATCTAACGGTGGCTGTTTTGCAGATCTTGGTATTAAAAGCAGCTGTCGGTGAGACGAAAAGGAAGAGAAGGAAGGGAAAACAAATCCATTTACAAATGTCAGATCAGCATGCTTTCAAACGGAAAACAACCCGGTAGCCTGACCAGATCTTCTCACATGTTTAACAACTCCATGTAAATAGAGAGTTCCATGGTCTGCAGCTGGGAGAGAAAGTTTGAAGACCAGAAAGGCAAATACCCAAACTAGCCTCGTAAAGGAGGCTCTCACACCTTAAGATTAGTGTGAACGTTGGTGTGAAAGGCCAGAGGGCGAGCAGTTTCTGGCAGAAATGTAGTTTCCTTACCTACCTACCTAATTACAGTTGGGACGGCATTCGTCTTACAGCAATGTGACTTTTTGATTCTAGAGTCTGCTACTTATGTCGTTTCTAACATGCTGGCATTCAAGATGTCATTCTTATCCCCATTTCCAAGCACCGTTTTAAAAAACATTATCTCTGAACAGCAGCTACTCTACCCCCGTCCCCAACCTCTCCCCCTCTTCTACTGAAGAACCCCCCCCCCAAGATGTGCTTTGGGTTTGTTTTTAGTTTCTGAAAATCGCTTTTTATAGATTTTCTAAGCCAAAATAACAGCACACAAGGGACTGGGATCTTGAGAGTTCTGGAACAATCAGCCTCAAAACCACAAGTTTCTTCTCCCCTTTCTTGAAAACTAACGGCAGCCCAGGCACTGCAATTTTCTCACCGCCGCCCTTTTCCCCTAAACCGCCTTGGGGCTGGTTTTGTTAGGTCCAGTTCCACCGTGGCGGGAAAAACGGTGCCTCGGAAATTTTTGTAAGGTAAAAGAGGAGAACCTTCCAGACCTCTTACCCCTGCTAGCGTACAGACCCTTTTACAAGAAAACAACAGTGAGTGAGGAGCCCGCCACCCGCGTCGGCCTCTCCAGCGCCCAAACGCCTGGCGCCCCTCGCGTGCTTCCCCGGCGAGCATCGGCTTCCGAGCGCCCCAGTGCTCCACTACGCCCCCGGTGCTCCCCACCCCGTAAACCCAGGGGTCGCGGAGTTGCCCCCCCGCAGCTCCCGGGGTCGGGAGGATGCGTGGAGAGGCAGTGAGCTCAGCGCGCCTCCCCCGCCCTTGACACTGAGCCTCAGCGGCTGCACCGCCCGAGGGTCTCCCCGCACCCCCAACCTCCCTCCCCTCGGCGACGCAAACCCGCAGCCCAGAGGGCGGGGGAGTTACCCGCCGAGGCCCTGGCGTGAAGACCGCAGGAGGGTGCCGGGCTCCGCGGCCGGGGGGCCCGCCGCCCTTCGCTCCAG